GTGTGTAGCTGCGTTTGGCTTCCCTGATGCCACGGACAGGTTGGCCCTCGCTGTTCTCAGGCAGGCTGCGTCCCCAGCTCTGAAGGCGGTGTTTCTGGCCCTCAGTAGCCGCGTACCTCCTGTCAGCCATGGCTTCTGGTTAGCCCGGGTGGTGATGTTCTGATGGTGGTGACATCAGCAATGCATTTGCTAATGTAGGAGGTAACAGTGTCAGAATACTCCTCAATGTCTGTGTGGTTGTTGTAGGTGGCTGCCTGCTTAAACATCTCTCAGTCTGTGGTATCAAAGCAGTCTTGTAGTGCAGCAGAGGCCTCCTCTGGCCACACACATACCTGCTTCAGAACTGGTTTGGTGACTTTAACCCTCGGTCTGTAAGCTGGCATTAGCATTACACTGATATGGTCAGAGTGGCCGATGTGGGGGAGGGGTGAAGCTTTGTAAGCACCTTTAATTGATGTGTAAATCATATCCAGAATGTTACCTTCTCTTGTGGGAAAGGTCACGTGTTGATGGAAGTGGGGTAAAACCGTCTTGAGATTTGCATGATTAAAATCCCCAGCGATGATGAAAAATCCGTCTGTGTGGGCTGTCTGTTTTTCAGAGTTTTTTTCAGAGTTTTCAGAGTCCTATCTTCACTTTGTTTACATCGCCCGGACGGCCGGCTGACTCCTCCCCTCGTGTATAAAAGTTGTTTAATTGAGGGACTAGAGAAAAGAAGAATAACATACTGTACTCACTGCTTAACTGTGTTTCTAGATCACGCTCATTTCAGGTAAATTTACATGCAGTGTGAAGATACCAGCATAATAAAGATCACTAGCATTAGCATGCTAACACAACAATGCAGCGTGAGTTGTTTTGGTTTCATGCTGGTGCTCAAGGGCGACATCTGCTGGATCAAGAAATCACATATAAAGACTTTAAACACTCATTTTTACTTAGAAATGAACAATTATTATTAAAAACTATGTAAAACATAAATAAACTTAAATTGAAGAAACCTCGTTAAATTGGCTCATATCAGAGATAAAATTAGTCGATACCAATAGTGATGTGATGAGCTCATATCATATCAGCATCCGATACATACGTAACATACTACAATGATTTCAGTATGTATTCATTTATTTCTTCATTTTTTTACATGTTTCTTCAAGACAAGGTTGCCATGCCGACCATCTCTTGTGAGTTAAACAAAGACGGTGGCTCCGATGTTTCTGAGGTCCGGGCGACGCTGCTGTGCTCTGCAGACCCCACCCCACCTGAGTCCATGATGAAGTTTGAGTGGAGAGCACGGGGAAAATCACAACCGGGACACAAGTTTAATATTTCTCTGGGAGACGAACGAGATAACGAAGAATACAGCTGTTCAGTCAGCAACCCTGTGAGCAGTGAGACGGCGACATTCACAGCAAAGGATTGTTATCACGGTATGATCTCATGTATAACTGGACGTTCAGGTTTCTGATTTGGTCATTTTGAAGTGAACGTTCTTTTAGAAAACTTGAAGCTTTGTTGCCAAGTTACACTATTTCTCACCAGGGTTTGACAGGAAGTTGAATGAAAATATATATATTTATATATTTTAATGAACCTTTATTTAACCAGGTTGGTCCCATTGAGATTAAAAACCTCTTTTTCAAGGGAGACCTGGCCGTCGTACGTGTCGTGTACGTCGTGTTTTCAGTAACTTGCTGTTTTTTCTCCATCCACATTTATTATGAGTACAATATATTAATAACAGATAATAATGCTCGAGTACTAAACAGGATTAACGGTCTCTAAATTCTATAAACACGTTTCATTAGAGTTGTTTTAAATATGCAGAACCCTTACAAAGACACATGCTTCATATTCTCATACCTCTCTATGATCAGTTCTAGGTGCTGAACCGCCTACAAAATATGTTCTCAAGGGGACATATTGGGAGAGCTTGAAGCCGACCTTTTCTGGACAACCAAATTCAATTCTGTGGAAACATAACGGAAACAAAGTGGTGGAGTTTGACAGCAGAGAGCAGAAGGTGTACGGAGCGTACAAAAACAGGATCACTCTCGACTGGGTCTCGGCAGAGCTCGAAATCACCGGCCTCAAGTTTGAAGACAGAGGACTCTATGAAGTGGAAGTCGACATCGACAACATTTTCTATCTGTCACAATTCAAACTGGAGGTCATAGGTAAATTTAACATTGAACACACAGATTATAATCAATCCATCCTACAGCTGGAAGAGGGTTAAAAGTAAAACCTCAGAGTAAAATGTAAATAGAAACAGAAAGGGATGATTTGAAACATTGAAACCCCGTATGGAATTGAAAATAGCACAAAGACAACCTGCTAAATGTTGAAACTGTGAAATGACATTGTTTAATTTTCACAAAAAATTTCTACTTTTTTGAAGCAAAAATATGTTTTTGAAAATGTCCAACTTTTTGGAAACCAAAGTTTTTTTCATGAACATTTTCAACATTTTTTGAGGCCGAAATTTTTCACAAAAATATTCAACTTTTTTTGATTTTGAATTGAATTTGATTCCAAAATGTTTAAAAAGAAAGTTGGTGCAGTAGCACAGAAGCTGATGGAACATGTCAAAGTTTAGAAGGTGAACTGGCTACAGGTTAGTAACATGATGGTTTAAAAAAAAGATGTGAAGGGCGTCTGTGAAAGTCTGTGCTGAGGTGAAACAATTAGAATCTTGTTGTTGTTTTTTACTGACAATTGAAATGAATGTGGGGCGTTCATTGTCTGCAAACTTTACATCTTATAAAAAGATTCAGAGAATCTAAAGAAATATCTGTAAGTGGAGGACAAGGCCAACAAAACAAACTGTGTGTCCCTGAGACAGCCCTGCTTTAAAAACAGATTCTGTAGTGGACACGGCATTGGCTCAGAAACAGAGTTCTAGCTAGCTGGAAAAAAACTCCTTAATGTACGTCGCTTTGGACAGAAGCATCTTGTGAATGAATTGTAGAATCAGGCACACAACAGAGAAATCTAAAGAAACTGCTGAAGCTGTGAAGAAAAGCTGAAACATCAGAAGATGAGTTATTTTTCCAGAAATCAGTTTTAAACTTTGTGGCTTTAAGCCCTCAGAAGCTGAACTGAATGGATGTGCAAGGCTGATACAGATTCAGTGAGTCACACTGTTGGGCTGTAAAATCTGCTTTATGTAGAATATTACCAATGATAAACTTCAGACCTGTTATAAAACCTTTCACCACAGGTTTCATGGCTGTTGTGGGGATATCTTTATAGACTGTGTACTTTTGTGTGTGTTCTAAACAACGAGCCACAGTTAGATTTCTTTAACATGACAGCATTCTTCCCTCTAAAGAAGTCGATGTTAATCATGCTGTAACAATACTTTATTCATCAGACACACTGATGTTTGACCTCAAACCCGTTCTGATAAGCAGTGTATGCCCTTTATACCCGACATTATGTTATCATATTATTCACTTGTTTGCACAGATTTTATGTTTCTTTGTATACAAACCAGGACCCGACACATATGGGATTTTTGGGGCCGATATATCGAAATAATTTGCTCAAGGGCGACATCTGCTGGATCAAAACATCACATATAAAGCCTTTAAACACTAATTTATACTTAGAAATGAACAATTATATTAAAAACTATGTAAAACATAAATAAACTTAAATTGAAGAAACCTCGTTAAATTGGCTCATATCAGAGATAAAATTAGTCGATACCAATAGTGATGTGATGAGCTCATATCATATCAGCATCCGATACATACGTAACATACTACAATGATTTCAGTATGTATTCATTTATTTCTTTATTTTTTTACATGTTTCTTCAAGACAAGGTTGCCATGCCGACCATATCTTGTGAGATAAACAAAGACGGTGGCTCCGATGTTTCTGAGGTCCGGGCGACGCTGCTGTGCTCTGCAGACCCCACCCCACCTGAGTCCATGATGAAGTTTAGTGGAGAGCACGGGGAAAATCACAACCGGGACACAAGTTTAATATTTCTCTGGGAGACGAACGAGATAACGAAGAATACAGCTGTTCAGTCAGCAACCCTGTGAGCAGTGAGACGGCGACATTCACAGCAAAGGATTGTTATCACGGTATGATCTCATGTATAACTGGACGTTCAGGTTTTGATTTGGTCATTTTGAAGTGAACGTTCTTTTAGAAAACTTGAAGCTTTGTTGCCAAGTTACACTATTTCTCACCAGTTTGACAGGAAGTTGAATGAAAATATATATATTTATATATTTTATTGAACCTTTATTTAACCAGGTTGGTCCCATTGAGATTAAAAACCTCTTTTTCACTGAGACCGAGCCGAGACAGGCAGCAGCAAAAACACAAAGTTACAGACGGAAACACAAAGAGAGACAAATTACAGTTTACAAAACACAACATTTTGGATTAAAATAGAACCATCTATGAGTCATATCTGGGAATCAGTCGTTCAAACAGCCGAGCTAAAACATCGACATCCTGCAGAATCTGCTTCCATGTCTTTCATTTTAGATTTAAAAACATTTAAGGACTCCAGCTCCTTGAGCTTTAAGTCATTCTGTAACAGATTCCAGGCTGAGGGTGCAGAGGACCCAGAAGCCCTTAAGATCCCTTTGACTCAAGGATTCAAAGTTGTTAATAAATAAATCAATGTTTTGGTTGTTGTAAAAGAGAGACTCTATATTCTCCTGTTGTTACAGTTCTACAGTAAGTTGTTTTGGTGATGAGTGATCTACGTCCCTCTAACTTTTGACTCTTGTGTTTCTGAAGATAATTCATCTGTAGCTGTGGCTGTCAGTCTGGCTGTCGTTGGTTTAATCGTACTCGTGTTGATCATCTTCTTCTGCAAAAAGAGACAAAAAGGTAAAGTAGAAAGAAATTACACTTTCATTAGAAAAAATGATACTGAAAACATTTCTCAGGATGTAGATTCTAAAGAGAACGACCTGATAAGTAACATGTATGTTTATGAGGTCCAGGTATTCAGAAAGCGATGTGGAACAGTTCAGCGCTCAATACGTTTTCAAAGAGGAAAGGTAGTTTGTGAAGAAAGACAAGAATGTTCCCCATTGTCTGAGTAGGTTCTCAGTCATCCAGGTCATGGTACATTTGAAGCTACATTCAAAATCAACTGGACTGGTTGAAGATCTTTTCTTTTTTTTATTTATTTATATAGATCCTTTCAGACAAATTAAATTGCAGTTCAAAGTGCTTTACAAGAGTGCGAAAAGTTATTGACAAAAAAGTAGTTTATAAAATCACTGAGAGACTAATGCACACCAATAAGAATTAAAAAAATATAAAAATTAAAAAATTAAATACGACACATAAAAGCAACAAGATATTAAAATTAATACATAGGAGAAGAATATTTAAAATTGTAGTAGGATAAAAAAAGACAATACAGTAATGTTAAGATTTGAATTGATATAAAACACGATATAAAAGTCGGACTGAATAAATGAGTTTTCAGACTGCGTTTAAAAATCTCAATATTCTCCTCTCAGACCCTCAGGAAGGTCGTTCCACAGTCTCAGAGCGTAACAGCTGAAAGCTTTTTGTCCTGCTCTGTGGAACAACTAAGAGAGAGGAAGTGGAGGATCTGAGGGTCGTACTGGTTCATAAACTAAAATCATATCTGATAGGTAGTCTGGTACAAGGCCATGTAATGCTTATAAAGTAATAAAAGAAAATCTTGAACGTCTTCAGAACGTCTTCCAGATCTTCCACCAGTCCAGCTGATTTTGGATCAAGCTTCAAATTCACCATGACCTATTGTGTCCTGTTATTTCAGTTAATTTCATTGAATTATTTTTATTTGAAATTTCAGATTGAATAATTTCAGTGATTTTTAAATGTTCTATTTTAATGTTTCTTTTTTCCTCTGTCATGATGCTTTTGATGTCTGAAGCACTTTGAATCGTCTTGTTGTTGAAATGTGTGACATAAATAAACTTGCCTTATTGAACACAATCATCTTTTATTAATAATGAAAATCTTCATATTGTATTAAAACTAACAACATACTGATCGTCTTCTCTCTCTCTCCTCTCTCCTTTGCTTCCAGCATGTTTTTCTAAAGGACAACAGGATGATGAGGAGAAACAGACTGAAGGTATGATACTTTATGTTTTCAGGCTGAGACTTCCCTTCTTTTTTTTAACAGATCTAAAACTCATAAATATTTGATTTAGAATATAAAACTGTGAAATAGTCTGTATCTGCAGGTCACCTGACAACAGAGAGGATACTCTGGTATGCAGAGCTTGGTTCAAGTGATAGTTTCTGTTGAGCGATTGGATGATTTCAGAGTTTTCATCGATCGTCACTTTTATCTTCTCTGCCCATAAAACTACAATTTATTGTTTGTGATCTGTTTCAGGCTCAGATAAGAAGAAGGCTCAGGGAGGTGAAACCAGTCCTCTTCTTGATCAGCGACTCAATAATACTATGAGCCCCAATCACCCTGATAGCATGGTCAAAGAAGACACTGAATTACTCTTGGAAAAAGGTAAAAGCTGCTCAATATTAATTACTCCTTTTTGTTAAAGGTTTATTTTGAGGCTTAATGACTTTATTTTGAGAAAGGTCAGTGGATAGAGTCAGAAATCGGGGAGAGAGAGAGAGCGGGGAATGATCCACAGGTCCATCCTGAACCCGGGCCCTCCGCCTGAAGGACCACAGCCTCCCCACATGGGGCGCACACACCAACCACCGGCGCCTCGTTAATTACTGCTTTTAAAAACTACTACAGCTTTTAATGATTTACTCAGCTAAATAATATCTTTCTCTTATAACTTGGCTAACAGTGTGAGTCCTGAAAGAAGAACATTTCATATCATTTTATCATTTTCAATTTAAAACAATATGTTTTGCTCTTTTATTTTTATTTTAGGGCCTGTTTCCTTTAAAGTACAAAGTTGTTCATTTTAAAAGAATGGGTATCACTGGAACGCCGATAGCCTGGTGGTTGAGGCTGTGGGTTCAGGTCCGACCTCTACTCTCGCCTCCCACAGTTTCCTGTCTCTATTCGCATGTCCTGTCAGATAAATGCAAAAAGGCTCAAGAATTAGTTCACTAATTATAATTCAATTAATAATTCAATTACTTATCATGATTAATACACTGTTAAAAAAGGAACAGCAAATTAAGTTACCTTGTTTTTGCTTTTCAGGGAATATCATGAAGATGATACGTGAAATAGACAGACGGGCTGGTCAAGGTAAATTCAACGGGGGAGAAAATAATATGAGCTGCGAGCTGTAACTAATGCTTATTTTATTATAACAACCATGAGGGCAACAAGTCCTCTCATTTAAGTCGCTGCAAACCATCAAACATTTGTCATATTTGCTGATAAGTTAATTCATTAATGCTTGTAGTGCTTCAGTGTGTTTGTTTGAACAGTTTTTAAAGCTTAAATCTCTCTCTCTCTCTTTAAAGCTCTTAGAAGAAATATTTCTGATCATTGAAGAACTTTACATGTCTTGATTGTTTTCATCTTTCCTTCTTCTGCTGTTATTTTTATGAAACAACCCTAACCTTATCCAAATGACTGAACAATCACAGCACATTGATTTAACAATTCAAGAAATAAAACACCCACACCTTTTGAGAAATGTAAAACCATTCTTTCTTACTTTGCCCTCTAGAGCTTACATCCATGTCTGTTACCTGTGTGTATATTTTATTTAGCTCATAGTTTGATTGTGATTTTATTTCTAAACAGTACAGAAAGGAGTAACATGATTAATCTGATTTCAGTTCACTGCATGTCATGAATTATTTTGATCTAAAGAATATTTTTCTCTCCAGAACCTGTTGTAGATAAGAAGCCACCAGAAGGTAACACCACAACACACATTCTTAATGTTAGCTGAGACACGATATAAGAGAGGCTAGGAATAAAGCTGGCTGCTTGTGACTCTTTTCTCTTATCAGGTTTCGTCAAAGAGAAGAAAGAACAGTTTGAAGAAAAGGCTAAAAAACCTCAACAGCCTCAAAACAAAACAGGTAATTTTGAATGGGAAGTAGATTTCTGCAAACAGCTGCAGCTGATGTTTATTTTCATTTCCACAATCAAAAAGCAGAGAGTCCTAACATTTAACAAGGTACAACAAATTAATAGTTGTTGTTGTTTTTACTTATAAATGACTTAAAACATGAATTAAATTCATGTTGATTCATTTTCCACCAATCAGAAAATTCCTGTATCAATCTATTGTTTCTGTACTACTCATTATTTCTTAATAGATTGTTCCTAACTGGGTTTATTGACTCCAGTGTCTGAGACTGTCTCTGTTCTGTTTAGTATCTTTAAGTATTTGTTTTCTCTTGCTGTTTGTTTCAATCAGATTCAGAAAGCTAGAACGCTCGCTCTATCAAACTTTACACACAGTACAGACGATTAGAGTATTTCTACAAGGTTCACTTTGTAACCTCTGAGAGACAAAACAAAGCATGCAACAGTACTTTCATTTACTTCTGGATTATTCTTAACAACAATAAAGACAAATGGTTCATTTATGAAAGCACATGATAAAAACTGGAGGAGGGACTTTATTTGTTACACCTAACTCATCACACAGACCGTGTCTCATTTAGGAAACCTCCATGAAGTAAGACTCATTGATTCAAACTAAAAGACTGTCTCTGAATATTTCAGTCCTTTACTAATCCTAAACAGACAGGTGCACTTTTTAAACTCTTTTGTATTCTTTGTAATGTTTATTTTAGAGCCAGAGAAGAATCTAGGTATGAGTGAGGAAGCATCGACTGTCCCACTCAAAGATCAAACCTCTCCTACTCTTGCCAACTCAAGTCCCCCAAAGACTGAGGGAGGTCCAGATGAGGACCCTAAGGACCCTGCTGGGGGTCAAAAGAACGGGTCTGACTCAGAGGAGGTCTATGAAGACACTCAAGATGAATCTGACTCACAAACTGATCCATCAGGTACGCAACAGAACAGAAATTAATCAGACAAAGTCCTCTGTGAACAAGTCGTCCAGTGTTCCTCATGAGGAAGGTTCAAATACGACATCACAAGAGCAAGAATCTGCCACGCCAAAGGAAGAAGAATCCACAGAAGAAGCTAAACCGGTCAAACTGGTTCCTCCAGCTGAAGAAACATCCAATTTAATGAGTAATGGAGAAGAAATAGATGAGAAACAGCATTTAGCCAACTCAACAGAAGTGAACACCAGCAACACTGTCACATTAAAAAAGGCTTCAGACACTCCACATGCAGATGAGGGCAGAGCAGGCAGGACTCAGGTGAGAGGGGGGGCAGGCAGAGGCAGATCAAGGTGAGGGGGAAATGATGAAGATAAAGAAGAGGATCAGGGTGGTCCAGAAGATGAAAAGTCAGACGATGAGTGAGGATAAAGACAAACAACAGAAAGATGGAGTGATCGCTTAGGCCTTAGGAGAAAATATGTGGCAAGAGAAAGTGAAGAAGTAAGTCCTCTATCTCTTTATGTTACATGTTTGTTTTTTGACATATTTTGTAGGAAGAGACGCCCACAGTACCAGAAGATTATCTCAAAGAAAACAAGTTTTTCATTTGCACTAGTTGTTACCTTTCTTTCCTTTTTTTTAAATGAATAACTTCATTAATATTATGAATGTTTTGTGTGTGACTAACTGAATCCTACATGTATTTTTTTAAAGATGTTTCAACTAATAATGCTTCATGAATGTTTTTAAAAAAAGAGAAATGTTTATTTAATTATTAGTTTAACAGCACTAATGTTTCTGATGTCATGCTCAAACCTTTTGAGGTAACATGAGAGACACGACAAGCAACAGAAAAAAACACTGTTTTTAATCATTAGACAAACTTTGTGGTGTAATGGAATAATATACGACTTATTGAACATCCAGCTACTGTGTCAAAGAATCTGATCAAACTGAAGGTGTATTCATAAAGAATGTTTCAGTCAGATATTTGTATTAACTTGTACTGCCATTTATTTTTAAAGAGACGAGTTTGTGTCTGCTAATGAAACTGCTGTGAGGATAATATTTGAAGATTTCTCAGAGCTCAGGGTATAACTGTCACAACTTTTTGTGCTTTCTTGCATTAAATTAGGCATTTTAGGGAACAGCAGTATAAGTTTTTATGATGAATGTTTTCCATTGGTCATTGAACTGATTATTAAAAGCTAATGTGATTATTCTATTTACTGTTTTCTCTCTTACAAAAAAACACTCATTCACTTACTTTTCAAGAAATGCTGTAATGGTACCGTACATTTACAGAAGGTCATTTTAAAGCTGTGAGTAATGAAAATGATTTACAGTTTGAAATGATTGTTGTAAAGAAACATAAAGTAATTTGTTTGTTCTTCCTGATTGTCTCATTTGCTTTTGATGGTAATGTAGAATCAACAGCTACAGTCTGTTTTATAAGCAGATCTAAACTCCTCACAGTGGTTTTAACTGTTTGATGGATTCATGAACAGATGGTCACAAACAACTGGCAGACTGGCCAACATCTGCATCCCATCCCTTTGTTTCAGATTCTCATACGAGGTGAGAGGAACTTGTTGTGCCAGCAGGCCTGTTACATCATTCATCCTACAAAGACAGATTTTATTTTTTATATTTTATATTTAAACATTTTTAAATTCTAATTTATATATTGTAATTTCTTCTTATTCTGTATTATTTAAGTTGTTGTTAGTTCTGTTTTATTTCCTTGTTAATTGTTTAGCACCAATACACCAAGTGAAATTCTGTATGTGTAAATGTACTTGGCAATAAACCCAGATTCTGATTCTGATTCTGATTCTGATTCTGATCCTGATTCTGATTCTGATTCTGATGGAGATGGAGATTCTCTGAGCGTCAACAGGAGAGGCAGTTGACGTGTGTCACACCCTCTGTTGATTGCGAGCTGAAAATCTGGGACGGGATTTTCACGAAAATCCAAGTTTAAAAGAGTCTGAATCCGAAACTGCAGCAGAACAAG